TGTCTTCACTATTTTGTGGGTTTCACATTTCCTCTCCAAAAGTAACTGTAATTCAAGGAAGGTCATCGGGAAGATGCTGGAGCCAAACACTGCTAAAGCCAAACACATTTAAAAGTTGTCTTCTTTGAAGCAGAAAAAGTTGTTTCAAATCTTCAGTTGGGAGCAATTAATTGACATTGTTGAATCTGCTGCTGACTCTCAGATTTAGAAATTGCTAAATTTAAAAATCATTTATTGAAGGACAGGATGGAAAATAATCCACTCAAGACTTCTTAAAATCCTGTGCAGAGCAACACTTGGTCACCTTTAAGAACTGAAGACAATTACTAGTGCCTAAAGGTGTGACACTAACTGAAACTCAGTGTCCACTGAAAGAGGTGTAGAACTCAGATAATTATCTGTTGAACCTCACTGTATTGTGAAATCACCTTTTTTATCTGTCATTGCTAGCAGATGGGAACACAACTAACACTGACTTTTTTAAACGAATGGCTCTCTGTGCTATTTCCCCCTTCTTCACTCCCCTTCAAAAAAAATTAATATTCATACTTCTAATTCCATCTCCTTCCCTGCTCACTGCTGTGAGCCATTTGTTACAGTCTTCATCTTTGCAGGCAGAAAAGATATGGAAAATAACTCCAGTGTTGACTGAAGGGCCACATATTTCATTGCACAGTGATTCATTTATTGTCTCCATCTCAGTCTCTCTCTTCATCAGAAACATCAACTTCCACATCTCACGTATGAGCAAAAATATCTTCTTGCTTAGGTGCCCTTCCAATCTTAGCTGCAGTATCCTGTCTCCCTCTCAAACAGCCACCACCAGCCAACATGCCGATACTAAAGCCCCACCCCATTAAGTAGCCCTGCCAACATCTCCATTATATAGGGTCTACTTTCAAAGCTTTATAATAACTCATCCATAAAAAAAATTCACTTCATACTGATACTTGGCACACCAAGTTATGAACACACTGGGGAAAAACAATGTTTAAATTATAGGATGCAAACAAATATTCAGAGTTGAATTTTGTGTTTTTATGTGTAAGTCACACAGCCTAAAACAGTTTCATTTTTCTCAATTCAATTTTGCAGTTTATTCATCCAGAAAGTAAACTAGGCACTTTTGGTATTTGTATGAAGGGGTGGAGGTAGGGGACGTACACGGCTGTGATAACCGTGTAAAAGCATTTTCTGAGCATGCACAGGCTTTTATGGAGCCACAGCACATAAATACCTAATCTGAAGAATTAGATTGTGGTTCCAAATACTAGCCCAAGTTTTGGAGGTGCAGTGCTTCCTAAAATCCAGCAATGTTTCAATTACTACTAATGACTTCAAAGTATCCTCCCTTCCTCACTGTTTTCTGTTCAGTCACTAGATTGACAGGTTCAGTTTATTGGATTCCAGTGCCAAGGAGCTCCACAGCTGAGAACATTCTATATCACAGAATATATCTAGGCACCTATATGGCCTCCATCACTGTGGTATATGAGTGCCTAAAAAGAACATGAATAAATTTATCCTCAACACCCTATCGCCAGGGGCGGCTCTATGTGTTTTGTCGCCCCAAGCACGGCAGTCAGGTGGGCTTCGGCGGCACACCTGCAGGCGGTCCGTGGCGTTTCTGTGGGTGATCTGCCGGTCCCGCAGCTTCGGCGTACCCGCCGCCGAAACCACGGGACCGGCGGACCTCCCGCAGGCACGTTGCCGAAGGCTGCCTGACTGCCGCCCTCACAGCGACCGGCAGGCCACCCCCTGCGGCTTGCCGCCCCAGGCACGGGGTTGCTGCGCTGGTGCCTGGAGCCACCCTTGCCCTTCGCAATAGGGGTAAGTGTTATTACCCTCATTTTACTGACAAAGAATGGAGACAGATAGATTAATCGTCAGATTGTGATCCTGTTACACTGAATAGTACCTTACACAATGAACAGTTTTACCTGAGTTAATGAAACTACTTGTCGAGTAATTTACTACTCAGTGCGAGTAAAGGGACTGAATCTGGTCCTAAGTGACTTGCCTAAAGTCACACAGGAAGTCTATGGCACATGAGGGAACTGAAGCAGCTATGTTTCAGCCACAGTGGTAATACCCAGCGTTACTTGGGCTTTATACCTCTTGATTTTTTTAAAAACGTCAGCAAGAAAACAACTATAGCAAATTCTTATTTATATGCATAATGTATGAGATTTCTATGGAATGGCCATATAGAATCTTCAATAAGTCCCACTAGAGTCACTTCTGATTTTCTGATGTGGCCATGAAAAAAAGTGTTTATTTTGGGGTGCAGTTCTCACACAATGAGCACAGTTATTGTCTGGTTAGTCAGTGTGCTGTGTTGCTTATATCTCCATTTATGTAAATGGCTGACAGACTACCCTCTTCATCCATGCCTTCAGAAAGTGCAGTTTGTGAAATCAAGTTGTCTGATCAGATCCAGACTGAAGCATTGCAGAGCCTGTCTTGTAAGTGTAAGAAAATGAGCCTTGCTGCTCACATTTTGAGTTGATTAATGGAACACTTCTCCTCCTCTGCCCCAATTTTTAAAGGAAGGGAATTAACAAGAAAACATGACAGTTCCCGAACTGTTACTATCATCTGTGATCAGAGTTATTCAACAGGGGGGCAAAGGTCAGATTTCTTGTTGAACTGTCATTACATAAGCAATAGGCCCTAACTTAGGCAGTCAGCAGCAGGAATTTCTGGGAGCCTTTAGAATCTGGTTTCCTTTCAGAGAGCAGAAAAGTGTGAGAAGGTCTCATGGACTTCACTATTAACATATTAAGCTAAGATCTGCTCTGTCTGCCTGGGGTTTCCACATGAAATTTAAAGGCAATACTTTTTACCTATAAACCCCCCCAAATGATGAAGGGCCTACCAATCAGAGAGACTGCCTCTCTCTCTGTGCTGTACTACCACAGGTGAGAGCACCTGAGGTGCACAAGTTGGATCCACACTGGCATAAGTGAGAAAGGGCTTCTGACAGGATATTCTTTGTGAGGGCTTCAGGGCTTTGGACTTCACTCCCCCATCTATGGTCTAAGGCAGCTTTAATCTGATGGACCTTCCTGGCACATTGCAAAGCTTGTCTTTTTTGCCAGACATTTGAAAATGGAGGAAAAGGAGAATTGTAGAATGGGGAGTTGTTGGATGGGAATTTTGATTTTTTAAGTTGCCTGGCTAACTGATGCTGGGCGTTCTTACATTTTACGGCTGCAAAGAGGGTATTTTTGTGATACATTTTAAAATTAAGACAAGAATGTATGCATAGGTGCCCTTTTTAGCATGTACATATATAAAGTAAATAAATACAGATGTGTGCTCATAGTGTTTCAGGCTTGTAAACACGAAACTCTGTGCTTTCAAACAAACATTCCCACATCAAAATAGGTGTAGTAGTTGCAGAATTTATACTTCCTGTCCAGTTTGAGACACTTATCCTGGGTCAGAAAAGTCTTGTCCAGTTTTATGCTAAATATTGTTCCTTTACATTCTAGCTTCTGGAATGGTTCCTAGGAACACTCTTCATATTTCATGATCTAATTGTACAACCCTAGGAAGGACCCTATTTTGGGAATGACTTCCCTGGCCGATGGGTCCTTGTATTTAACTAAAGAGGGCTACTGACAGAACGAACATTACCTTAGTAAAAAGTTCATGATGCTGTGGTTGGACTAAAACATCAGACTAATTAGTAAATGCCTGGCCTCCTTTGGATCTCGGTAGCAAAGGAACTATCTCAAGTTGAAAGCTTGTATCACTGATTTTCAGTATTCCATTCTGGAAGCTCAAACTGCAGAAATGAATTCACCTTCTTAGGGGTATCAAAAAGAGGCACCTAGATACTCTGGAAAAGAGGGTACTGCCATACCAAGACAGAGCCCACACTCCTGCCTATTGAGCATGTGCAAGCTAAGAGGTTCCAGCTATACTTCCTGGATCGTATACTGTGCTTATCACCGTAGTACTGGTGCATTTATTTGTTCTACTGTAACCTTTTTCATCTGTTGGTCTTCTACCCTAACTGGGATGTGGGAAAGGAGATTATTCTGCAGTGGAGGTTTCTGTCAGGCTACTACTATAGCTGACTCATCTTTTCTCCATAGGAGCCACTATGGAATTCCTGTAGGAGTTCCAACGGGATTAGTAACATGTATTTTTGGATCAACAATGCACCAAATGTGGGGACCAAAATTTAGTTTATTCAGTCTTGTATTTAAGTCCGCCACCAACTTGGAAATTACCTTTCTCTATAAAAATTCAAGTATCAGAGGGGTAGCCGTGCTAGTCTGGATCTGTAAAAGCAGCAAAGAGTCCTGTGGCACGTTATAGACTAACAGACGTATTGTAGCATGAGCTTTCGTGGGTGAATACCCACTTCTTCAGGTGCACCCTATAAGGTGCCACAGGACTCTTTGCTGCTCTATAAAGATTGTGTATCTATTATAGTTAACTAACATAATAACTGAAAGAAGTAAGCACAAATATCTTTAAGTTTGCTTAATTTGTATATTTAACTGTGCTTTACATATAGTTAGTTTCATGACTTGTCTTAGTCAGTCAGTTTCTCTGCTGCTGAAAGATATTAACATGGGAATATAACCTTTAAAAAGGGAAATTAAAAAATATTCTCGACGTACAATATCAAAGATTTTTCTATCAGAAATTGCAATTCTTTTAAATTAGTTAATTTAGTCAAGCTGACAATATCCCTTCCAACCTCATAACAAAGAGCATTTTCATCATTAGAGCATTTGAAAAAAGCCCCACATTCCTCTTCCCAAAGCACTATTACTTCAGAAGAACAGGAGCCACATGCAGGGGATTCTTAAGCCACTGACTCCTATGCAACCTCTTCCTCATGCAGGGGATTCCTAAATTCATTTGGTCTCCTACTTCCTGCGTGATGTAGGTTTGAACAGCACAACAGAGTAGGTTTGGCTTTTATGATGCAAATTTCCACTTTAAATTCAAGAAGTAATTACAGTATTTTAACATACCTTTCTCTTGATCAGTAATAACTTTCTCCATTGCATAGTCCACATCAAAAATGTATCGGTAAAAGCACAGCTGGGTGTACAGGGCCTTGTCGGAATA